AGCAGTATTGGGGGTGGAGCAGTGACACAGTATGACACCCAGTGATCAGCATGTCATAGTTATGAGGGATGGGGGCGGAGCAGAGCAGTATTGGGGGTGGAGCAGTGACACAGTATGACTCCCAGTGATCAGCATGTCATAGTTATGAGGGATGGGGGCGGAGCAGAGAAGTGATGAGCATGTCTTAGTTATGAGGGATGGGGGCGGAGCAGAGCAGTATTGGGGGCGGAACAGAGCAGTATTGGGGGTAGAGCAGTGACACAGTAGGACTCCCAGTGATCAGCATGTCATAGTTATGAGGGATGGGGGCGGAGCAGAGCAGTATTGGGGTGGAGCATAGAAGTATTGGGGGTGGAGCATAGAAGTATTGGGGGTGGAGCATTGGCACAGTATGACTCCAAGTGATCAGCATGTCATAGTTATGAGGGATGGGGGCGGAGCAGAGCAGTATTGGGGGTGGAACAGAGCAGTATTGGGGGTAGAGCAGTGACACAGTAGGACTCCCAGTGATCAGCATGTCATAGTTATGAGCGATGGGGCGGAGCAGAGCAGTATTGGGGGTGGAGCAGTGACACAGTATGACTCCCAGTGATCAGCATGTCACAGGTATGAGTGATGGGGGCGGAGCAGAGAAGTATTGGGGGCGGAGCAGAGCAGTATTGGGGGTGGAGCATTGACACAGTAGGACTCCCAGTGATCAGCATGTCATAGTTATGAGCGATGGGGGCGGAGCAGAGCAGTACTGGGGGTGGAGCAGGGACACAGTATGACTCGCAGTGATCAGCATGTCATAGTTATGAGCGATGGGGGCGGAGCAGAGCAGTATTGGGGGCGGAGCAGAGCAGTATTGGGGGTGGAGCATTGACACATTATGACTCCCAGTGATCAGCATGTCACAGGTATGAGTGATGGGGGCGGAGCAGAATTGTTGGGGCGGAGCAGAGACACGGCACAGCTGGCACAGCAGAGCAGGATTCTGGCTGATTTGCATATTACCCTCTCTCACCGCTTCAGGCCTACGTGGTGTAAGAAGAGATCTGAACATTTCTCCATGAGGAGCTCTGGACGGGATTTCTATAAACCAGACTGAGCGCGGATATCTGCTGGGATAAAAAAGGGAGTTATTGGTGTAATTCTCGTGTATCCAGCTCAGGCATCTACAGGGTGCAGAGACCAGGGCTGCGGTGCCCCCAGGGACAGGCACAAGTCTGGGCACGCCATCTGTAATTACACCCCCCCCCGATGTATTCACTTATTGTTCAAAAAGTGGCACGCTACAACGCAGCCTTTCTGTACAGAGATGACAGAGGTACCGGGGCTGTGAGACACAGAGACTGCACAGGGCAGAGGCCGTACAGTACAGAGGCTACAGGGATATGGAGGCTCAGCGGGTACAGAGACTGCACAGGGCAGAGGCCGTACAGTACAGAGGCTACAGGGATATGGAGGCTCAGCGGGTACAGAGACTGCACAGGGCAGAGGCCGTACAGTACAGAGGCTACAGGGATATGGAGGCTCAGCGGGTACAGAGACTGCACAGGGCAGAGGCCGTACAGTACAGAGGCTACAGGGATATGGAGGCTCAGCGGGTACAGAGACTGCACAGGGCAGAGGCCGTACAGTACAGAGGTTACAGGGATATGGAGGCTCAGCGGGTACAGAGACTACACAGGGCGGAGGCCGTACAGTACAGAGGCTACAGGGATATGGAGGCTCAGTGGACACAGAGACTGCACAGGGCAGAGGCCGTACAGAAGCATACTGTGCACCATTTTTAAGGACCGGTTAATATCACTGCATTGCCACGGCTTGGCAATGTCGGTTCACACCACAAAACCGGTGAAATCCATTTCTTGGGGTACATCACCGGACACGGGGAGTTCATTCTGGAACCAATGGGATGTCCAAAACCCCTCCAACAGAGGTGCGGCCTTACAGTTTGGGAGTGGATGCCGGATTGCCGAGGATGCTCCTCGTAGAGCGAGCCAAGAGCGGAACGGGGGATCTCTACCCTCCAGCTCACAGGCCTGGGAGATGTTTTCCCCAATCCCCCTGACATCAGCAATAGTGTAACGAGACGCTGGCCGCCCCATGCAGGAACCCTCCGGAATGACATGGAGGGCATCAGGCTTGTGAATGGGAGCAGAAGAAGAAATGTGAACACGAACGGCTCCAACAATGTCCGAACCGGGGACCTCTGTAGGGTGTTTAGAAGCGGAACAATGTCCTTGTTAGGGCGGAGGGCCGAGATCATCTTAGGAAGAAAGGAGGCCCCCGGGCCTCAGCACTGCCTTCTCTTTGTGGATGACCTCAATGTACTCTTTATAAGCCATGGCCCTCAATGATGAAGGCCACATGGTAAGTGAGTAGGGCCAGTGGAATATCTCTAAGAGGTTGAAGGGCGTCTTCTGCAGAACTGACAGCACTAAGTTGAGGCCCAACAGAGACAGTTTAGT